CTCGGAAGAATCCAAAACAAACCGATTCTTGAGAGTTACAAGTTAAAGGATAATAATAATAAATAATGCATTTCTCTCCTTCTATACGTAGATGAAGCTTACATTTGAATTTCCTTTTAACCCGCAATCTCATGCAATTTTTGATCAATCAATCAGTAAAAATGATTTTAACTCCGACACATATACTTCCGCATAATTGATTAACAGAAAAACAAATGTTTTAGTTCGGCAAGAACATGGCCTTAGAACCGTATCGACGTTTTCTTTATCTCCTTTGCAGAATTTTTTAATTTCTTATTTTTGTTGTTATTATTACATAAGTACCTTTCAATTGCCTAAGAAACGTTACATGGGATCTCGCGTTTCTAGATGTTCCATTGCAAGAATACTGTTTCTCGTCAAATAAGCGAGAGGTGAAAGGCAATCAATCGACTTTCTCCGATCTTCCCGATGCGTGGTCTCCTTCGTTTCGTTAAGTAAAATTGTAAGGCTTTGTTTTCTTCTTTTTTTTTTTTTTTATTAGTATTTTCGTTTTGTCGTAAAAAATGTAATGCCATGAAGAGTTAGTAAACACAATGTAACACAAACAGTGTGCGCTGATTCCCTTCGTTTTTTTTTTTTACTGAAAACTAAAAGGTTAGCAATAATGATTATCCTATCCCAGCTAAGATTAGGTAATAAATTTCGGTGCTTAGGTAGAAGCAAAAATTTTCGCAGTCTCAGCAGCAGTTGCAGCTCGTAAAAAGAGAAGAAAATCGAAAACTGTAGCAATTCAGACTCACAAGTAAAACGTTAAAAAAAAAGAAAATTACACAAATTTTCGTACAGACGTGAACTATCACGCAAAAGAAGCAAAAACAAAAACAAAAACAAAAAAAAAAACAACAATTTGAGCCTTGACTCTGCAACCCGAATATGTCAGCTAATACAACCAGAATTGCAATCAGCAATAAAGGTAAAGAGTATCTTCACCTAATTCAATTTATAACGAAAGTCAGCGTTTTTTCGGGGCCAGAGTACGGTTGTATAATAATATTCAATGGAAGAAAGGTTAATTTTTACATATTTTGAAAAAACAAAAAAAAAAAAAAAAACTATTCGCCAGAAATCGTAAATATTCTATGAGGTTGGATTTTTTCATTTTCCTCTCTCTCATAATTGTCTGCAAAAAATTTATGTCTCACTGACCTTGCTATTAAAAAGAAAATTACGTGAATTTTTTATGAATTATTTTGAAGAAAGCAAAAACAACGAAAATTTGAATGCCCTAAAAAAATGTTACGCTCAAAAACGTGGTTGTGCCCGGTTTTTTACTGCTATTATATTTTTCATTTTACGACTGCGGCAAGAAGTCAACTCTTATTTTTTGTTTCATTCCTATTTATATGCCATATCCTCTTTTAAGGGAATTACTGTTAAAAAAAAAAAAAACAATAATTGAGGGATAAATGCAAAAAATCATAAAATAAAAAAAAAAAGAAATTCTAAAAATGTAAGCAGCTATTGTGCAGGAACGTTTTCGGAGATCGATGCTCTGCTCCGATGCTCTGATTTTCCATTTTGTGAAGCTAGCAAGCAACTCGTTATGAAGTCAACTATAAGCACCTTAAGCTTTGAGAAAGTTTCTTTTAGACTTTTCGTGGTCCGATGGTGCTCGTCCTCATTTACATAACTGGGACAGGCTGTCCAGACGGCTTTCTTTATATGGAATCGAATGCAAGCATCGCTCTAAAGCATACCTCTGATATATACTGAATACTTTTAATGGAAGGTTTGGTTCAGTACATCGGAGCATCAATTGCGACGAGCACATTCGAACTATATGCGGTCCATTCATTCAATGCTGCTCGTGCTTAAAAAGCTACAAAACCACACCTTTATCCCTATTAGCCATACATCATTTATGTTAAAGGGTTTATCAAGCTTGTCAGGATATATGCCATACCCGCAAGCACTTGCAATAGACTCTCCTTTTCATAATCGCTTGCTGTATCCACCTAAGCTTTCTCGTCCACGTCTGTCTGCTTTATTTTTTTTTCTTCTACGTACAGGCCGCACTTTTTGAGATACTTCGACCAAATTTCAAAGACCAGATCGAAGTGTTTTGTCGCAAGGACAAACGCTATTGAAAACCATTCCGATCGCAACACTTTTTTGACCACTTCTGTTGACTGCATTAAGCAAAGTGATGCAGGGTACTCAATGGTCAGTCATGGCAAGATTTTCACGTAACAACAGATTCACCTTAAATGTCAAACGGCTTAATATTTCGTTGGCCAAAGTGTGTCTTCAGGCAATCGTATATATACATCATATCATTGCTTAGTCGCTGGTATAATATTTTCCGATATGGAAGATCAAGTGGTAGCGAACTGGTGGTCAGAACTGGACGATAAACGTACGAGGAGTTCGAATTTTGCAAATGATTTAAGCAAATTCTGTGATCCTCTTTCGTATAACTAACGGTAGAAAACAAGCTCCAGTTCACATATTTCATGAAAAGAATCTAAGGCATGAAAAAGTGCTTAGACGAGCTGAAAAGACTGCGAAAATTAATGTAAAACGTAACGCGGAACATTGTTTCAAAAAGAAAACGGAATGTCGCGACAGTGTTCATTAAATTCGAAAAGCTTACCTTAACTACGGCACTATGGATATTCACAAATCCTGATATATTCACCTGAAGTAATAAACAAGAAAAAGTGCACACAGTTCCAAGTCGTAATACCACGACGCTTGGACAGTGGAGGCATCTCGAACAAAGAAAAGAAAAAAACGAAGGAAGCGAGGAATCATGGTAGAGCTCAACATAAATACTTGATAAAACAGATAATAAAATCCTACAGATGCGTCAAATAATGAACATGTACACGTAAAAGTCGCAAAGGAAACCGAGGAAAATTTAACGGAGGGCCTAAATGGGTCGCCTGGTAGTGAATATCCCTATAAGACGTTTTCCCCTCAACATTTTATTGATAAAAAATACCTTGTTTTGTGAAAAAAATGATGAAAATGTAATGCGGAAAGCTATCTGGCAATGATACTAAGAAATAACTTCAGTTGTGGAGACGGAAGCAGTAATAGTGGCATAAGTCATATTAAAGTTGCGCACCGCGCTATCTATGTAAGCCAACTTACCCCAGCTGATATTTATCTTCTTATATAGAATCATTTTAAGCGATTAAAAAGTATGGACCAAAAGACCAGATTAAAATGTGAAGGCTTAACCAAATTAGATCAATGTGCTAAGTAGATCCGTTCATAAAAGTACTACGATCCCAAGTTCCAATAGCAAGCGATGTATGTATGGATAATATTCCAAAGAAAAAATTGCCACAAGCGACTAGAAGAAGAAGGGGCTCAGGTGTAATACTAAGCGAAATAATGTGAGGACCTGTTGCGCTATAAAGTGCAACAATACATTGTCGATACATTGAGGTTGCAGGCAAAGAGTAGAGCAGGCGATAAAGAAAGTAAAGAATTAATTTCGATGAATGGCAATCAGTAAGCATATGAGACATACTAGATAATAATGATGAAAATAATAAAGATTATCGTGATGGTGGACGAGAAACTTTAAATATATTAAGTGATTTATGCGGATGTTTTGAATTTTGTTTATATAAATCATTTATAAATTAATTTATGTTTTACCGTTTTTATGATCTTAGTCATTTAACAAAATTTTTAAATCAATGAAATCCCCTTACAAAGGAATAAATATATATGAAGAACTGTTTAAAATTAGATGAGAAAAAGTATGTGTGAAAAGATGACTTCACATGCCGATCAGGTTATTTTTTCTATTTTTTCCAATTTTTATTAATTTTTTATTTTCTTCTCTATTTTGTTATACGGAATGCAAAAAAAAAAAAAAAAAAAAAAATTAAATAACAAGTTTTAGTGATGTTTAAATAAAAATAAATCATTTTTCTGTGAAACGAAAGCGTAAATTAACATAAGTAAATAAAACTGTAACTGTGAAAGGAGAGCGTGTATTGAAAAAACAGTAACGCCCCCTGAAGTATGAAGGAAAAAGAAGAAAAAAAAGAAATAAAAGCTAAAAACTTAGTGCTATACAAACAACAAATTTAATAAATTATAACATACAGCGAGCAGTAAGAAGAGGGAAAAAAAAAAGCAAGCTGTTAAATAGTACGATCACTTTTATTACTGTTAGTTAGTAATAGAAAGCAGTGGGCATTTGCTTGAAAGAAATTTGATTAACAGCCAATAATAAGAGTCTGAGAAGTGCGCTAACATTTGCAGCAAGCCGGGTGTACTCTTTACTTTAACATATTCTGCATTGAAACTCTTTTAATGTTAACTCAAGTTTAACAGCGAGATGTCAAGCGAGTGATTCTTAAAAGAAAAGAGAATTTTAGATGACATTTTAAAAGAGATGAAAAGTGAAAGAGAGAGAAAATGAGCGACTGCGAACGATAGAGAGTGTATAGCAATGAGATCGTTGCGCTAATACCGATAAATGAATAGGTAGTATTGTGAATACCTGTTCGTTGGAAAGGGAAAGCTGCCTATACAATGGTATGCGTGTAAAGTGATGAAGTCTTTGAGCGGGGTTTCAATAGGGTTAACATAAATGTGTGAGGTGTTATAGATTTTTTGGGGTTTAAACTCTTATATGTGCTCGCTGGTATATAATGTTAAGTTAGAACGTTGTCTGCGTTTATACATCACTGGACATGAATAAGAGAACAGTCGTCTGGGAAAAGTAGTGCAATTTAAGTTAGATCTGTTTACACATCTATAAATAAATTAACGTCTTTGTAAATGGAAAAAACTTTTGCTATAATAATAATATTAATAATAATAATAATAATAAGAATAATGATAATATGAACATAAAAAGCATAATTTAAGTGATCTATAAAAAATAATATCAAGAAAAACTTACTTAAAATGTTCAAGTGGATTTTCTTTAGTTAATTAAAACAAAATAAAAAAAACAACAAGAAAAAAAAAAAACATATTTTTAATATCAAAGTCAAACTTAAAAAGCAAAATATATATAAAATAAACACAAAAATAAGAAACGAGAAAAAAAAAAAAACTCAGAAAGTGGAGTATTTGCTTTTGGAAAGGATCTTCATTTGAATAAAGTAAGTTTTTAAAAAGATAAGATGCACAAATTTTTCATTATTTAAAAAAACAAAAAAAAAAAACAAAAAAAAACAACAAGAAAGCAAAATGCATGCAATAATTATTAACCTTGTTTCACAACAACCGTCGGTTGCAAAACGCAAATTTCCAAAAGAATTCTTCAAGCCTTGTTTTTTCGACGAATTTTTTTTGTTTTTTTTTTACATTGACTAAACTGTTTGCAAAAAAAGAAAAAAAAAGAAAAAAGACAATTCTTTTAATAGCCTGTGAAAAATCCTTAACCTTGATTGTTTATGCGTTTATTAAGGGTTGCATCATTTTTGTTGAAAAAAAAAAAAGGTTCTCTGCTTTTTTAGTTTCAAGCGCTAGACAACGCGCTAAAAGTCATAAAGTCATTTTTTTGTCGCTGTTTGTCTTTGTTTTGTTTTTTCCATAATTTTCAAATTTCTTCATTTATTGCTGGTCAAGCTGTTTAAAAAATCATTTACCTCCGTTTAGTAATTATTTAGCGTTTACACGGTAAAGATCACCTCGTGCTAATATAATCAGCATTTAGGTGCCGGTGGAGAAGAATTATCTTCACATTGAGCGTTAAAGACAAATTAAAAATAGAAACTAAGCAGAATTGAGCTGAGGCCTCGATATCAATATTCTTCTCTTAGTCAATATCAATATATCCCTTCGGTCAAGTGATCGTAGCAACCGTATTCTACTAGGCATGCGAACCATTATCATTATTTGATCGACGGATCAAGCATGAGCTCGCATCGATTATGACAAGCCTAATAGAAGAAATCTAGGTACGGTCTTGAATACACTTAACTCACTTGCATATGCTTTTAATGCGTCCAATAAGATAGACTTTGTTTCCATAAAAGCAGCGGTTTGCAGGTGTGCATTCAATGACTCGTCTTCTTCGGTTTTTGAGTTCTTAAGCTTAAGTGCGTTGTGCATTTTATTTTCAGGGAGAATCAGATTCAGTTAATAGACAAAGAAAATAATGTCATATCGAGTAACACATCTCACACATATCGATATATCAATTTGTCAATTTTTCAATTTGTCGAAATGTGCTTAGAGTTCGACGCCAGCGTTGATTAATATTAGTCGCTTAAATCCATTCGCCATTCATACCTAATTACCTACATCTATATATAATTACCTATATCTATATATATTTTATTGCAATATTTTCAGATGAACCAAACGTGTAAGGTGTGTGGCGAGCCAGCGGCGGGCTTCCATTTTGGTGCTTTCACTTGCGAAGGCTGCAAGGTAAATATTTTTTAAAATAATTTTGACAATTGGAAGCGAATAAAGCAAACTTAATACGCACATGAATCGTTCAATAAATGAAAATGCTAGGAAAACCTTGAATAGCCATCATTTAATTTGTGGTCCTGTTTCGGCATCTGTTGCCTTTTCTTTGTTTTTTTGCAGTCATTTTTTGGTCGCTCTTACAACAATCTTTCGTCAATAAGCGAATGTAAAAATAATGGTAAATGCATTATAGATAAAAAGAATCGCACTACATGTAAAGCCTGCCGTCTACGAAAATGCTACAACGTAGGCATGTCTAAAGGCGGTTCACGTTACGGCCGACGCTCAAATTGGTTTAAGATACACTGTTTGTTGCAGGAACAACAACAGCAGGCATTAGAAGCGGCTAGCAAAGGCGCCACAACAGGAGGAGCAGGAAATATAAATGTGGCTGGGTCCGCGGTAGCGCCATTCGCTGATATGGCAGCAGCAGCACAAATGCATCAGCGTTCATCACATTTGCCGCCGCCTTCATTAGGTTATGCGAGCTATTTGCCAGAAATGACTGCAGGGCCATTCATGTCTGCAGCTGCTTTACCTTTCTTCAGTATGATGAACTCTCTGCCGTCGATGAGCGGGCATGGAGCGCCACCACCATCGGCTTTTCAAGTACCCTCGCATTTACTTTTTCCTACTTATCATCCTGCGGCGACAGTAGCGGCGGCGGACGTTGCATATCGTAATGAGATGTATAAGCATCGTCAGTCAATAGACTCATCTAATTCAATGGAATCGTCACATTTTTCACCCTCGAATAATTGCAATAACAATCAGTCGGCAAATCCGTTAACGCCTGAATCAACAGAGACCCCTTCGCATCCTGAATCTGGCCGCGAATCACCAGAATTATGCGTTTCTGGTGATGACGAAGAAGAACGACAGATAAAATCTTCTGCGCCGTCCCCTATAACTTCATCATTGGCCTCGTCTCGCACGCATTCGAGTCACACTGTGCACAGTCCGATCGCAATAAGAGCTTCACCATTGCAACAAAGCCAGGAGCCGCCATTCGTTCGCAAATTGCAATCGCTCTCGCCCGTATCCGTGTGCTCGATAAGTCACGAATCATCGAATAACATTAACAAAGAAAATCAGTCAACGTCCACGCTTCATCAAGAGACACCTATCGATTTAAGTATGAAAACATCGCGCAGCTCATTGCAAAGCGATACGGATTTGTTAAGTGAGACTAGTGAGGAGGAACGACAACTCGGTATAAGACGTAAATTCTATCATTTGAATACCGAATCCGAAATATCGGAAAGTTCTCTAAGCTCTGCTTCCGATATTGAAGCCGGTAAAAGACAAAAATTGGAAGACACAAGCGTTTTGCATCAACGTTTCAACGGTCATAATACAAATGTCATGCACGGTATATTCGTTTGTGTGTAAAATAGTGAATGTGAAGCAGATCACAAGCAATTTCCGTCTTAGTCAATGCAATTATTTTCTTAGTTGAAATCCCACCTGACTTTTGAAAGCTATGAACAAGAAAGCGAAGAAGAAAAACAAACAAAAAATAAAACTAAAAAAAATTAGAATAACCAGCTAAATATATATATATATATATATATATATATATATACATATGCGTTTATGTATGCGTGTGCGTGTGTGTTTGCGTGTGTGTTTGCGTGTGTGCTATATGCTTTCATCGTTTTCCTTTGCCTCTCCCACATCCTCACCAACAATATGAACATCATGACTATTAAATAATCCAAATATTATTTTGTAAGTTTTCTTTTCTGTGTATTTTTTTTTTTCCTAGAGTAAGTGAAATAAGTATAAGCGTTTAAGTTTTTTTTTTTTTTTTTTGATTTTTCATCTTAGAAATTGTATCATACTTAAGCACATTTAAAAGTATACTTAACTTAAGTCTTCATTTTATTTTTTACTTATAGTTAATATATAAACCAATAATCGTGTGTGTGTGTGTGTGTGTGTATGTGTGTGTGTAAATATTACTTAAACACGTTATACCAAAATATAGTAAATTATGAAAATATTTTTTGTACATAAGAGGAAATTAAGAAAAAGAAACAAAAAAAGAATAAATAAATAAATAAATTTATTAAGAATATATGAGCGACATTTAACTTTCTGTTCAAATTTTTGAGGGATTTTAGGACAGTTGAAGCGATGAGCAGAGATGGATGGGTGCATGCACTGAAATGCCAATATCACGTTGCTAGGTATTGCTAGGGTACATCGTTCCTTCATATTATCACAGATCTTCAATAAAACTCATACGTACGCATTACGTTACGTCTACACCGTTATTATTATTCTTTATTATTCATTATGCAATTAATTGACTGAATACCCCAGAAGTTGTTTCGACGAAAAATTTACATAAATGTCAATCGCTGTGGCATCTGTGTTTTAATGTCTTTCCTAGCATGCCATTGTGTAACCGCAACTCGTTAATCCTATTCGTTGGATTTTTTTTTTTTTTGCTATCACCTGCAGAGATGTTCGAAAACAATATGAACAAGTCTTTAGCATTAATATCCTTTGCCTAAATACCAGTAAGACTAAAGTTGCTGCGTCATTCAACCTGAATATAGAAATATTTGAGTATACCATTGGTCTTGGTCTGGGTATACCTTGATCACAAACTCAAGTCTGACTCCCACATTGACAAAGTCTCTGCTAAGGTTTGTCTTACTGCCGCTACAGGTTAAACAAGCCATTGCCCATTCGCTCCGCACGATGCATGTTAACTATTGTATTAGAGTCTTTTCTGGTTGTCCAAGGTATAACATGGATGGGCCTTCAAAATGTTGTTCATCCGTGTGAAGGGCTTTGTTTTTGATATCAAAGAGCTGGTCCTTTGTTCATGCTTTCTTAAAATGCCCCCTTCGCGATTATCTAAAGTTCAGGTTGCTTATCTACCTCTACAAAGTCATTTAATCTCGGTGTCAAGCCTTTTAACAGCTGTAATGACTGTAGTTCTCTAGATCGAATAGAAAGCCTTTCTTATTATGCGTGCCATGGTTTTCCAACTCATTAGCCAAACGATCTTTTACTATTTGTGTTGCTAGGTATTGTTCTGAAATCCTTCGATGATTCTTTGAATGCGTTTAGAAAAAAGTTGACCGCAGTGCTAAACTCATAATTCATATTCTGCGGCTGGTAGCAGTTGATGATTACGGAGTTTATGGAGCGAGATGATTACATTTGCAGCGATCAGGCGAGACTTGTATACCCGCTTAAGTTGTAATTTCTTTTTTTTTGCACATGAAATGTATCTATGTAAGTAGGTAATAGCCCTATGGCTTTATAGGCATTTAATAAAAGTGGAAATGAAATGAAAATGAAAATGAAATGTTGATTGCATTTCTCCCTTTGATAAACAAAAGAATAATGCGTGAGCATGATTGGGCAGCCTAATCTGAGTATTAAATGGTCAATGGTTGGAATCTTCAATAGCTCAATATTTTCTTAATCATTTATATATATATATATATATATATATATATATATATATATATATATACATATATATATACATATATTTATATTTTTCGGGGAGTTCTTCACGTTTGTTATGAGCTTCAACTTAAATAACATATGTGTTTGGTTCACTTATCCATTCACATTGAAAGACAGCCGTTTACATATTTGATATTAACATTAATATTATTTCAAAATGAGCCTAAATTTCGATAGCACAACTTCAAAGACACTAACGTACATTAATTAATGAAAACAAAAACATATGGAGCAACACTGGTCAAGTTGATTCAATGCAATTTTATTAAACATAAGCGTGTTTATCACTGTCTTCCCAATACAATTATTTCCGATTGTTGCAAGCGCAATGGAAAATGTAGCATATATCACTGACACACATACCCATTAGGCGTAGGAGTTAAAGCAGTAAACTGTTCTACGACTTTTAGCGAAAAAAACACACCGTTCCGCTTGCTCAAAGGTGTTTTTGCACTTTTTTCATCCTAATAAATTCAATAAGAGAGCGAGTGCTTCATTTATTTATTCCTTAAAGCAACTAACCGGTGGTCAACGACGAATAGTTTTCCTTTTTTAATGTACTGATCGAATACTAAGAGCAGTGATATGCTGACTACTTTTAATCATAAGCCAGGCTTACTTACATATTTGTTTCGGCATTTGAGATGATGTTTGAGTGTCTGTGTGTGTGTGTGTGTGTGTGTGTGTGTGTGTGTGTGTGTGTGCGTTTGAATGAGCGTTAAAATATGTCGTTGATTAAGTGATTAAAATTCCAGCTAACTAACATATATAAGGTATGTTTTAATTTTATCTTTCTCTCTTTCCTTCTTTCTTCTTTTCCATCTATATTTCATATATTTTTATTAAGTTTATTTAAAACAGCACGTGTTGTGTGCTAAAAAAAACCAAAAAAAAAAAAAAAAAATTCTTCACTTGTACTCACTAAAAAAACGGTCTAAAATTTTTTTTTTATTAATATAAAAAATTATTAATATGATAAAAAAAAAAAAAAAAAAAAAAAAAAAAAAAAATAAAACCAAAACAAAAGATATAAAAAATATAGAAAAAAATAATAAAATTTTAAAACAAAAAAAAAAAAAAAAGAAAAAAAGAATGAAATAAATAATAAACCTAAACTATGCCGCTAATGCTTACGTACGAAATATTGACAGGAATACTAATAGATGATGGGGTGTAAAAAGAAAAACATGCTAAAAATTATACTAAAAGATATATAATTTTAATTAAAATATATATATATATATATATGTATTTTATTTACTATATAGTAATATATATGTATGTGTTTATTAAAGGTATGCGGCTTATATAAGGTAATGCGAAAGCAACAGAAGCCAGTTTAAGTGCTTTTGAAAAAATTCACAAAACTATTTCATGGCTGATGCATAGACTGCATGCAAACAACAATCAGCGATAAAAATACATTTTCAATTTAAGTCTTATTTCTAATATTTCGATATTTTCGATGCTTCTTTACTTGTTTCCTCTCTTTTTTCATTGCAAATGCAACAAAACAGTTTGTAATGGCATCTGAAATAATAATAAATATAACATACTATGTAAACGTAGTCATAGTGCATTGCATTGCATTATCGCAATAACATATATGACTCCTTTGTATGCCACGAAATAGGCTTAGCAACATACGCACACGAATGCAAGCCAAAGGCAAACGAAATGATTAAGTAAGAGAATGTTAAGAATATCATAACTAGAAGATAACTGAGAAATTCCTTTACGGAGTTTTTATGCGTGACTTGTAAAATGCAAAAAGCGAAGCATTCACGATCAGGTTGAAAATGGTTGCAGACACTAATGAAATGGTTGCAAACATTTTTATTTGACTAATACATTATGGTAAAGAGTATTCGATACGTGTATGTAATTGTTTGGGGAACAGAATTCAAAGATTTTTTGTTTTTCGCCATTTTCTCATTAAAGTTCAAAATGGTATAACTTTTGACACGACTGACAAAATACAAAAATAATCTAAATACAAATTTTAGGCTAAAATGTAAAATTTTAAAATCTCCTCGGTGTGACGTAATTTGCTTACTGCTTGCTGTCTGATATACAAAACTAAATACTAGGTAAGATGAAAAATTTCGTAATACTTTCTTCCCGAACTAACACATATAAGCATGCCAAACAGATCACGAATAGTCCATATGCGTTACCATTTGAGTTTTTCACACGGAGTACAAACTGCAAAAACTGTCGCACAAACTAACTAAGATACTTGTATACTTATGTTTACTTCTTCGCACATAAATCTCTGTCGGTTCACAAAAGATGGCCCAACTAGAAAGTCTTGCTGAAAGTGTCAGATGTAAAACGCAATATCGTAAGCTTGGTCGTCGGGTAACAATGTAACCGTATCAGCATCACCTAACTATTTTCAAGCAGGCGTACCAAGTTTTGTGCCGAATAAATCCGTTTCCCGTTATTTGCGGGAAACTTGACTTTTCCTGCTTAAGTTGAGAAGGATCGTGCAGCTAAGCCGTTATGAAGGATAAATAGTGCATACGTTACGATATCCTAAGACCAAATAACAACGCGGCAGAGTAAGAGAATCATCAACCTATTGACGGTAGAGCTGAATATCTATGACATTCCCGATTCTGGGGACCCGTAATGCGTCGTGTTTTGTGATTTGTTGCAGTGGTGATGAAACCATCACTAAGAAGCGTTATCAACACAATAATTAACCTAATTGAGCCAAAAAAGTGGGCGTGATAAGCCATGAAAGTCATGATATTGTCAGTTCTCAGTATGAACCAATTCTCTTCCATATAGCGTAACTCGCGCTTTACACCATATGCAGAAGATTCAGGGACACAGCCACAAAAGGTCAAAGAGCTCTTTCGACTTGGTATCCGTATGCTGCTAGGAAGATGGGAATAGGTGGTGGCTAATGGTGGATACTGCCTTCAATAAAGTGCAAAGCATTGTTCTTTCCGCGAAGCATCGTTCACCAAGTTTTACTTATCGTTTTTTGCAAATTCTTAAAATTCCTATTTTCTCTGCTTTGCTTAATGTGTACGCG